AGTACTTGTCATGTAATAAGCAATCCCGGGCTCACAGCCTCCTGCTTTTATTCACTGTCTTCTCTTTCAATTCTTTTTCTGCAGAGGAGAATGTACCGAAACTTTACGGAATCGCATCCGAGAGCTGGAGACAGAGTGCAAGAAGCTGAGCATTGACATCAAGCTGAAAGAAGATCAGATACGAGAACTAGAAATGAAAGTTCAGGTAACAAGAAAGTGCCAGGGCTTAGAGCAGCATCACAGCAAGCAGTCTCAAGGGTCTGAGAGTGCTGGATCTACGCAAGAGGCAATGAACACCTCCAAGAATCGGTCTCTTCAGATGTGTTTCTTGCATGTCTTGCATCAGAGTTTGTAAGAAGATGGGGATGAGAAAGGTTACAGGTCTCAGCTCCACGCCACTCCAATGTTTAAATGATTTGGGTTGATTTTCTTTTCTCCACACCAATGGTCAGGATAGACTGAGGAAAACATAGCCTCCACTACACCTTATGTCCTGTGTGAGGCCTTGTTGGCAGTCTGTGTTGTTTTACATGTTGGCAAGTAAGGAATTCAACAACAACAAAAAAAACCCAGCCATCTAGAAATAGCCATTCCCAACCACAAGGTGACTGACTTCCATGCAATACTTGCTCCCTCCTTTTCACTTTTCTACATTTCTGGGTTTGCATCAGTTTGGTTAAATGTGAAAAGCACACAAAGATGAAGTCCCTCTCATCAGACAACTGAAATAGCTTACAATGCAGTCAGTCTTTATTTAGTATAGCTTCAAATGTCCTGGTAAGGGCTTTGTCCCCATTCTAGCTGCTTTCATATTCCACAGCTTAGCTCTTTGTGCTTGCAGAAGAGCTCTGTACAGCTCTCAGCTGGGAGGGATGAGTGAAAGGTCTCACAGACAGCAAGGAGCTGAGGAGCAGGGGAAATGGGACTGAAGTTCTTTACAGGGAGAGTGGTGAGGTGCTGGAACAGCTGCCCAGAGAGGCTGTGATGCCCCGTCCATCCCTGGAGGTGTTCAAGGCCGGGTTGGATGGGGCCCTGGGCAGCCTGGGCTGCTGTGAAATGGGGAGGTTGGTGGCCCTGTGTGTAGCAGGGGGTTGGAGCTCCGTGATCCCTGAGGTCCCTTCCAACCCTGTTCATTCTGTGATTCTGTGGACTTGCTCCTGCACTGTAGCTGCTCTTTGTACAGTATGGCTTTAATCACTTGTGTGATGGTCATGTGTAATTACTGCAGGTGATACTACAGCGTCCTCAATTAACCATCATTTTAATTTGACTGTATTAATACCAGGCCCAGTAGCGTGCTTGTAAGAAAGGGAAAGATTGCTCAGTCCAGCTCATCCGTGAAACCTGCAGGAATGTTTGTCCTCATTGCTCCTACAGGAACTGAGGAAGTACAAGGAAAACGAGAAGGATACGGAGGTGTTGATGTCAGCACTTTCAGCCATGCAGGATAAAACGCAGCACTTAGAGAACAGCCTGAGCGCAGAGACGCGGATCAAGCTGGATCTTTTCTCGGCGTTAGGAGACGCGAAACGGCAGCTTGAGATCGCCCAAGGTAACAGAGTGGTGGGGAGGGTTCAAAATCAAAATCAGGGAGGGTTGGAGACGGGGAATCCTGGGGTCCCCCCCCAGTCCAAGCCATCCTGGGATTTCCTCCGTTTTTATAAATGGTTTCCTCAAAGCTGGAGATCTTCTTTGAAAGAGCTAGAAGATAAGATAGCAGCGCTGTCTGTTGGCCCCGGGCCTCGATCTGAAGCAAATAGACCGAAATGGGGGGGGGGGGAAACCCAAAGGTCCCCCTGTCGGTAAGCAGAGAGGTGTCCGTGTTGCAGTGCCACCAGGGGGAGCTTGGAGCCAGCGTTTAACCTGCGGGGCTGTCTGTTAGCTGGGAGCCCTGGAGCAAAAGGAAGTAAACTCTTGGTTTAGTAGCTGTGGAATTTCCTCGAAGGAGTTCGTTTGCAGGAAGGCTTTCTTAGAATGAGAATCTTTTTTTTTCTGTGCTCTTTACGCAGTTACATAAATCGTGGGTCTGTGAGTGTGGGGGTGGTGTGGAAGGCAGGGGGGTGTAGAGAAATGGTGTGGACAGCTTTGGAAATCAGGAGAATAACGTTCAGTGACCCCCCGTGGGGTGGCTGTGACAAATGGGACAGTGCAGAATACAAGTCACATTTTGGCACCGTGCAGCTGTGGATCCAAACAGTGCAAAACGGAATAGAAGATGTGATGGTGTGAGGTGGTGCTGTAAGCATCTGACACAGAGGGGCAGCTGCACCAAGGCTTTTGCTTTTGCTGTTAGCAGATCAAAAAGCCAAATCCCTTCGTGGCGTTTGGCTTCAGCTGCTCATCACAGGAGCGCTGGAAGGTGAGAAGGTGCAGCTGTTTCTCAGCGACGCTCTTTGCCATTTCAGGGCAAATCATTCAGAAAGATCAGGAAATCAAGGAGCTCAAACAGAAGATTGCCGAAGTGATGGCAGTAATGCCCAGCATCACCTACACCGCAGCCACCAGCACGCTCAGCCCCGTTTCCCCACATTACTCTTCCAAATTTGTGGAGACCAGCCCTTCTGGACTCGATCCCAATGCCTCTGTTTATCAGCCCATGAAGAAATGAATGCCAACTCTGGTTTTGCCCGGCGACGTCGCCGTGCCGAAGGCTTCACACAGGAGTGTCTCTTGCAGTCCAAGATGAAATTGTATCGTGTGAGACTGTTATTTGTTGTCATTAAAAACAGGAGAAAAAAAACAAACAAACAAAAAACCCATCTGGATCGACTAGAACTGCCCATCAGTTTTTCTTGTAAATTTTTAGAAAACCTCACAGAACTTTGCAATTTATTTTCCTTGGCCAATGCATTAAAAACGATTCTTGGTTTTCAAGTAGCCAATTTTGCCTTCTTATGTACTTGTGCATGGTTTCCTCTTGAAAATACAGGGCTTTGCTTGATTTTGAACCCTTTCTTCTCCCGTTGTTTTTATTTTTCAACAATCGAGTTGAATTTGCCAATCAGATTCATTGAGAAATAGTGAGGAAAAACCTTTTGTTTTGACAGTGAAAGGGTTAAATAATCCAACAAAGCTTTGATTGATAGATGTGTTAAATACAAATAGGAGGCGTTGAGGAAGAGAAATTAATTCCCCCGTCCAAGGACCAAACCAAATTCAGGGGTGTTGCTTAAGGGAAAGCAGGAGGAAATGGGTGAGGATGCGACCGTGGTTGTTGTGTGAAATATTTATGCTCCCGTTGGTGTCTCTGGTCATTGAGAACTGCTGACAGTCTTGTTCACAGTGCCTTGGGAAAAGACATTTCAAGAGGAAACTTGATAGTTTAAACTATTTTTCCCCCCTTCGCTGTCATCTAGCTTTATATCAAGCTCATTACAGAGTCTGCTGCAAATTGTACATGGTAATTTGGATGTTCATCATAAACCAAGGTTACATCTTCTGTTTATTTCGATAAAACTCAGCAGTGTTCTGTAACTTGCCTTGATGATACAGCATCACAAAAGGCACAATATTAACCCAGGAAGCGTTGTGAAGGCAGAGCTGTGCAATGTACTGTATACAAGAGACTGTAAAGCTGGCTAATAAAAGCTGCAGTTCTGGTTTTTTATTATTATTACTTTTTTTCTATCACCTCATGTGTGCAAACTTAAACGGAGCTGAATATTTTTTTCAGCCGTTGTGCCAAGGAGGTTTTGAAGGAGTTTTTGAAATTGCAGAAAGGTTTGAGTTAAAATGTGTGCTGTAGGTTGGTAGAAGAAACGTTGGCACTGCTGACATCCACAGGGCTGCAGATGATTTTGAGGGTGGGGGTTGAAAGGATGGGAAACAAAACAATGGGGAGGAGCAGAATAAACTCAACGCTGTGGGTTTGCAAACATCGAGTCGGAAAGACAAAGGGCTTCTGAAAGGCTTTTTGTTAAGGCTTCCTGCTAATTGGTGCAGCTCATTTAAAAAACAAACAAACACAACGAAGCAGGACACACAAGGCAGTAAAAGTATTAAAGTTTCATCATTTCCAGCACAGATATTTTATTCTGGGATAAACTTGGAACTTCAGCCAGGTGTGCACATTGCTGTCAGCTGCATTTTTGGCTCATCCTTTGTAATCCTCACCACTGCTGGAGGTTTCCCATTGTTGCACAGAACTCTTTGAAAGGGGGGGATAACAGCAGGACAAGGGGAAATGGTTTGAAGTTGAGGGAGGGAAGACTGAGGTTGGATGTCAGGGGGAAGTTCTGTGCTATGAGAATGGTGAGGTGCTGGAACAGCTGCCCAGAGAGGCTGTGATGCCCCGTCCATCCCTGGAGGTGTTCAAGGCCAGGTTGGATGGGGCCCTGGGCAGCCTGGGCAGCTGTGAAATGTGGAGGTTGGTGGCCCTGTATGTGGCAGGGGGTTGGAGATTCATCATCCTTGAGGTTCCTTCCAATCCTGGCCATTCTGTGGACACGAAATGGCATCACTGACCTTTTTTGTGCTGAGGTTCCCCGTTTTGCTGCCTCCTTCGGCACATTTTGCAGTCAGTGCTGAGGTTCCGGTATTCGGCCTCGGCTGCGTTCTTTTCCCTGTGGGGTTAACGCTGTTAGCAGATCCCGTGCAGAACCTTTTGCAGCCAACGTGAATGCGGGATAAAGCATAAAGACGGGCCGCCATCGCCTCACCTCAGAGCCTGCGCTGGCTGCCATCGGAGCGCAGCCACGTCTGCAACCGCTTAGTGCTAAAAGGACAACCCCCTATGGCTCTATGGGAAAGGGGGAAAAAAGGGCGAGAATCCATTTGCACTGAACCGTAACGGCACTGAGCGGCGAAACGCCCGGAGCGACTGCGCTCTCCAAGCGCCTCACGTCGCCTCGCGTCATTACGTCACGTCACGTCGCTTTGCGTCATTGCGTCACGTCGCGTCGCGTTGCGTCACTCTGCGTAACGTAACGTCACGCCGCCGCGCTGTGACGCCCCCCCTCCCCCTCAAGCCCCGCCCCCGGACGCGCGGAGTGCAACGAAAGTTGCCGAAGTGGCGCGGCGGGATGGACGCGCTGCGCTCTGCGGGACGCGCTTTGCTGCGCAGCCCCAGCGTCACCAAACCGCCCTGGGCCGGCGGCCGCCACCAGAGTGAGAGCCGCCCCGCGCCCTCCCTTCGCCTTCCTTCCCTTCCCTTCCCCATCTTCGCTCCCGCACCGCAGCCCGCGGGGTTCGGGCCCGGTTCTGCTCCCGGCTCGTGGGGGGCGGGGGGGAGGGGGATCGGCGCTTTGGGTACGAGGCGCCGCCCGGCTCGGGCTGTTCTGCGGGCTGTGAGGATCGGCGCTGTAAGGAGCGCCCTATGGGAAGGCGCCTAGACGAACTTCCTGGCTCTTCCCATCCCTGCTCCTGTTTGTAAGGATTCCGGGCCGGCGGCTGCGCGAGGTGAGGCGGATCGCCCTCCCGAGCTGTGCCGTGCGGCCGCCCGCAGAGTCGGGCTGCAGAGCACCTGAGCTGCAGGGATCTGGATTCGCTCACCGCTGCTGCCCGCCGGCCGCGGGGTGCTGCATCACAGCTCGCGTGTGCGTTGTTTGCGGGGCGGCACCTGTCCGTCTTCGCACGCTGCCTGCGGTGCAGCCTGTGCGTGTGCATCCAGCCTGGCGGCTCCTGTCTGCAGCCCTGTGGTTCCCACGCTGCTCTCCTTGGTTCCTCCCCTGCCTGAGTTACCCCTGGCTGCAGGCGGTGCCAGGACAGGTCTGTCACACTCCACCAGCACCTGGTGAAATCCGAGTTGCAGCCGGCCAGCAAAATGCAGCGCCCACCCAGCAAGCTTTTCTTGTGTGTTTGGGACCCTAAGGTCCTCTTTCTTGCCTCATCAGAGCTCCCGGAGAACTGGACCGACACCCGAGAGACGCTGCTGGAAGGGGTGCTGTTCAGCCTCAAGTACCTGGGCATGACGTTGGTGGAGCAGCCGAAGGGTGAGGAGCTCTCAGCAGCTGCTGTCAAAAGGATTGTTGCCACTGTGAGTATCTGCAGATGCAGAACTTTGCAGAACAGGCCCACGTCACCTTCTGTCACTTGGGGATGATTTTAAAAGCTGCAAATCTGGAGGCAAAGCGCTCTGTCTGCAGACTTGGGAGCGTCAGGGCTGCAAATTGCACCCGTCGAGGTGAGCAGGGCCTCTCCGCAGCATCTGGCACAGCAGGTAGAAATGCAGGGCAGCACTGGGAAGCCTTTCAGGCCAGCTCTGGTCTGTGGGGGGTTGTGCTGCAGAAAGCTGTTTGTGTGTCTGGGTTCTGGTGCTGCTTGATAAGCTTGGCTGACCCTGGATGTGGAAGAAAGCTGTGACCTGGGAACATCAGGCTCTCTTCATGGAAGACAGAGGCAGTGTTGAGTGCTGCCAGCACGTGACCAAGCTCTGGGCCTGTGCCTGGTATGCATTTTTGAGTTTTCTTTCCCAGGATTTGGAGACCTAAGAGGGAGAAGAGAGCAGCACAGTTTGCTGCAATTCTCAGACAGTACAGCCACCCATCCTGCTTTAATCTCTGGTGCAAGAGGGACTGATTTGCAGCTGTCCTGTAATAGAGCCTCTCCAGTGCCCCTGCTCACTGGGCTGTCCAAGTAAAAATAATGCTTCTTTAATCCATTATAAAACTGAATGAGTCAGAGACACAATTGTGCTGCGAACTGCCATAAGACACAATAGAGTGGTGAACTGTGCTGGGTAATGACGGATCCTTTCCTGATTTATGCTGAGCTGTAAGGGAGGGGAATGCTCACGTGAAATGGGAGATGCTGGCAGAGCCCTTGACATCCACTCTGAGAGTGAGAATGGAGGCTTTAAATAAATCCCCCGGGGCTGAGCCCATCCCTGGAGGCAGGACTCGCCATCTGGCACTGCTCTGGTGACCTCACATTGGTTCTGGTCTTTGGGCAGCAATGAGTTGGATATTTTTTTTTTTGGAGAGAATCAGCAATAAGCTGTGTGCAGCCTAACTCCTGAAAGCAGAAGAGTAGTAAATAAAAGAAGGTGGCACTTGAATCATTATATTTTAAGCTAGCATCCTGTTCTTGGTGCAGAGGATGCTTTGCTGCTTGAACAGGATGTGGCAGTGCATCTCAGAGCTGGCTGCCTGCAGTCCCACATCCTGCAGGGCTGCCCTGCTGTCAGCACAGCTCCCACAAGGGCTGGTACCCTCCTGATTCCCTGAGTTTGCACAGTTGCCTCCGTGGCTCTGGAGTTGTCCCTAGAGGGAAAACTCCCACAGGTTCCACCAAACACTCACAGCTTTGCATAGCTTGGCCAGAGCAGCTGTGGTTTTGTGCTAATGATGTCCTTGTGGAGGGGCTGGACTGGTTCCTCCCCACTGTATGGAGTAAACATCCTTGTCTCACTAAGCATAAATTGCTGCAGAAGGGAAGGAAGCATTTTAACAAGTGCCTTATCATACCTGGCTGCAGTGCTACTGGCTGCTAGTAGCATCTCTTGTCTGTTTAGAGTGGCTGATGGGTTGTGCTGGTAGAGCTTTGGATGTCTCTGCTTAAAGCCTGTAATTTTCCCCTCCCTCTATTCCTTCCAAAGGCAAAAGCAAGTGGAAAGAAACTGCAGAAAGTTACGCTGAAAGTCTCGCCCAGAGGGATCGTGCTAAATGACAGTGGAACTAACGAGCTGATTGAGAACGTCTCCATATACAGGTGTGTTGTGGGACACCCTGCCCTCAGCCCTCCTCTCTGCTTGTGCCCAGAGCGAGGAGCCACTCTGTGCTGGCATCTGAGCTCTGACCTCCACTCAGGCCTGAGCTGACATCTCTGTGGCCATCACATCCTAAAGCAAAGCAACGTGTTGCTGAATTTAAGACAAACAGATGTCTCCTGTGCTAAGTGTGTCCAGCAGTGGGGTAAGGAGAGATGTGATGATCCCAAATGTTTTGGGTGGCTGTGCTGCTGATTGTAATAAGCATCCCGTGGCCACGTGTGGCATTGTTGAAGAAATGCTGAAGCAGGTAAGGGCAGGCGGTGGATATGAGGATGGTCAGAGCATTGCTGAACAGATGAGGATGCAAGCTCTGGGGCTGGCTGCTGCACGCCCTGCTTTTTGCCTCTAATGTTGACATCACTCTGACAAAGAGCAGGGCTTAGGCAGCTGCTGAGACCTAATACCAGTGTGGGAGGGGAGGGTGAGACTGGATTATCCCATATTCAATCCTGGATTTTGTAAGTATATTTTCAAAGAGTACGTGGTTGGAGTCAGATGCAGGTTTGGAGGAGCGGAGCTAAGTTCAGATCTGTCCATTTCCATCACCTCTATCCATTCTCCTTTCACTCTTCCCACACTCCACTTTCTGTCCTTCACGTGCTTTGCCACTTTGCTAAATGTGACAAGGGGAGCTCGAGGCTGGGGCACTCTCTAGCAGGACTATTAACCTACTTGCTTACTAAGCATCAACTACAGTTACCTCCCTCAGAGACAAAACTGCTGCTAAAGAGTGGAGCTGAGTGAAGCAGCCCTGAGCGTGATCGCACCAAAACCAGTATTGCTGCATGGTGTAAAACCTCATGTGAGCAGAGCTGTGGGCCTCAAATGTTCAGAAGCTGCCTTAAATTCTGCTCAGACACTTTCACAGCCAGCAATAAAGCTGTTCCTCCCCATCAGTGCTTCTTAATGAGCATCCCTTTGATTCAGTTGGCTGAAGTTGATGTGGGGACTGATGTTGCTTCCCAGAGCTGCTGGCAGGAAGGAGTGATAGCTGGGATCTGTGTACATGGGGGCCATTCCCTTACACTCCCTTAGTACCTTTTCCAGGGAGATCCTCTATACCTCCACTGTCTTCTGTTTGGCAGTTTTACTTACCAGGGAGGTGCTGGGTCTGAGCACCCCAGGTCGGAGGCTTGGGCAGGCAGCAGGACAAGGTGGCAGCAGCCAGAACTCAGCATCTGTCACTGGGTGTGCTGCTGCAAAAGGCCTTGTGGTTATAACTGGCTCACTCCAGAAATGAGTGTGAGTTCTGTTTTCCCTGAAAATTAATGTCTGTCATATAGAGAGCTGAACGCTGAGGTTTGCAGGAAAACAGCCAGCTGTCTGTGCAGGTGATCTTTCACAGCTTGTGTCCCAGTTATTAAAACAGTGGAGATGTTTCTTTGGGGACAAGTGGGAGAAAGGAGTAAACTTCCAAGTGCCTCTAATCCAGAGCACAGCTCAGCTCTATTCGACACAGCGCAGGTTGTTGAGCAGAGATGTTCTCATGTATAGTGAGAAACTAATGCAATGTGAAGAAATACAGAATGTGTCTTTTCAAGTCTCAGAATCTGCTGGGAACTTGAATGTTCCAGACCCTTCCCTGCAAAGCCTTTGGGGCAGTAAAAATATGAGCTGAAAAGGCAACGCTGGGTAATAGGAGAACTTTGGTGAAAGTGTTCTATTTATTTGTTGACTTTTCTCTCTCCAGTATTACCTGCTAGATCTCATGCATGCCCAGGGAAGAGGCTTTGCTTGTTGCTAGCACCTGCCTCCTTGCTCTAAATGTCCAGGGCTGCTCCAGCCAGTGCTTACTGCCTTCAGACAAAGTGCTTGGTCCCGCAGCACCTGGTCCAGAAGGTCTCTGGGAGATGGCAGTGGCTGGTGACAAGGGACGTGCTGCCCTGCAGAAGGGAGCTGAGCTCTTGGTCACAACAAGATCTCCCTGAACTGCTCAGCCTGTTGCTCTTTCAGAGCCTTGTTGAATGTTCTGGAATAAGCCCTGCTGGGGGACTGGGAGGGATGCAGCTGTCCCAGGGATGTTCCCACAAGGGATGCTGAGCCTCCATTGGTCAGGGCTCATCTGCTGTCAGGGCTCTTGGAGCATCCCACGCATCTGCTGCTATAGGTCTCAGAGCCTGAATGTCAGCCTTTCTGACAGCTCCTGCTTCAAGTTTCCTCCCCTGATTCAAGAAAGCACATGGGAACTTCAAGAACAAGTCCTTTTCTCTCTTTGTAAGCTTGTTCTCCAAGGAAAAATTTCCAGAGTCTCTGAAGGCAGAGCATTTGTTAGGGGCAGTCCCAGACTGCTACACCGCGGAGTCTTTACTTGCCTTCTTGAACCTATCCTTTTCTGGCAAGGTGAAATGTTTTCTGTTCTCTCCTACCTCCCTGCAACATGCACAGTTTGTGCTGTGCTGTGGCTGGCTGCAGAGTGGCCAGCAGTCACACTGAGCATCTCTAGCAGTTAAACCAGTGGCATTAACTCCTCTGATGCCTCAAAGCTGAGTAATGCTCCTGTGCTCCCTCTGCCTTCCCTGCTTGGCCGTGCTGCTTGCAGACCTGGTGCAGGAGCAGGTTTGTGGAGGGGTTGCTTGATCTGTGCCCCAGACAAGACGTTTCGTTCTGTCTTTCAGGATATCCTACTGCACGGCAGACAAGATCCACGATAAAGTGTTTGCCTACATTGCCCAGAACCAGCTCAATGAGAACCTGGAGTGCCATGCCTTCCTTTGTACCAAACGGAAAATGGTCAGTTCAGAGGAAGAAATGGGGATGTGGCTTTAGGAGGAAGAAGCAGAGGGGCTGCCTCAGTGCTGCGATAGCAGCTTTGCGCATAGTTGTAGAGAAAGAGGGTTCTTCCTCATCTGAAGACCATGGCAGGGCACCTGTCCGGGTGCTGCCATGCCCTGGTGCAGTGCTACCACCTGTTTGCAGGCAGTTAACAGCTGCCCAGGGACAAGCAGTTGGTCTCCAGAGGGACCCAGCACTGCCATGGGGCAGACGCAGGGAGGATGGAGGCAGAATTTGAGGCTGGAGTCAGCTGGTCTCCTACAGAAAGGAAAAGCCCTTCTGGCCCCAGGATCTGGGGCTGGGTGAAAGCAATTGACCCAAAATCCTCCTGCCTTGCTGCAGTCCCAGGTTCTGGGATTCTTTTCCCTTCTTAGTGGCTACTTCCCAGAGCTGCTGGAGTCTGGCTGTGCTGTGGAGAGGCAGGTGAGGAAGTCTCCAGGAAGGCTGGTAGCCTGGGGCTGTCTTGGTGATGGGAGGCATTTAGCCAGTGGCACTAAGCTTACCATGCTATTTTCTTTGGTGTTTTTTTGTTTGTTTGTTTTCCTCACTGTTTATCAAAACTCCCCATCCATTTCCTGGTAACATCTTTGCAGTCAGTTGTGTCCTTCCTGTAAGAATGCATTAGAATATGCAGTGCACTGCATGCCAGGAATCATAGAATGGTTGGGTTGGACGGGACCTCAAGGATCATCTAGTTCCTATCTCCCTGCAGTGCCAACTGCTAGATGAAGCACCAGATAGGATTGCCCAGGAAATGAGGGTTTGAAGGAGATACCAGTGTCTGGTTCTTGCTTTGAACCCGCTTCTGGGATTTTTTCCTGCTGATTCAATGCATCTTGAGGAGGGAAGGCTCTCAGTTGGGCAGTGATCCAGCATTTTGCAAGCTAGCAGGGGAGAGAAGTGGGTCACTGGGCACTGTCTCTACATAGTGACAAGGGGAAAGCCCTCAGGGATCTCAAGTAGAGCAAGATCTGGGTCTGGCAATAAATGGCAGAGGAGGGATAGGTCGGACCCAGCAATCCTTCCTCTGCAGGGACCTGTTGGGCCTGAGCAAAGAGCCTAGATCTGCTTCCTTCCTAGCAGGGAGGCAACATCCCAAGAGGCTGCAGGAGCTGTTCCTCTTGGTGCAATCCTGAGTAGCAATCCTTGGGACCTTGTGAGCATCTGTCTCAGGCAAGCCAGTGACACCACTCGTGCCCAGTTTGTTCCTTCTGTAAGGAGGCAGTAATGGAAGCTACAAGTTGTATCTCCCATCTGTGGCATGTGCTCCTGTCCTTGTGTGGTGAAGATAAACCTTGCTCTGCAAATTGAAATTTAACTCTCCAGTTGTAAGGGAATTACCTTGGTGATACATCAGCTGAGTACATCTCCTTCCAAAATGAATTTCTCCTAGATCTTTTCAAGCGAAAACTAGAAATACTTTTCTTCTTTGTCTATAAAATGCATGAATGTCATGCTGGTAAGGTGCTGTCCTGCTCCTCCTAGACCAGAAACTGTCCCTTCCCCAGGGCAGGGTCCCTGAACATATGCATTGCTAACAGTCAACAGCATATAATTAGTCTGTATTTTTAGTTCATGAGTAATTCTCAACAGTAGCTGGGTCTATTAAACTGGATTCAGATGTGACAGCTTAAATTGTAAACAGCTGTGAGGAGTTTCATACTTAATTACCATATTTACGTTTTTACCATAAAACATTTGCACTTTGATGAAAGATGTAAATAGCTCTGACATTCAGATGAGCTCTCCTGTCTTGCGAGGCTTAAGTGGCACAGATAGGTTTGCTGTGACTCTTCTCTTTCTCCCATCCTGGAGCACGTGGCTTTTGGGAGGAATTTGTTCTTCAGTGCTCCCCCCAAACCACAGGGGGCTGGAGGTTACACTCCAGGATCTGAGTTTAAGTTGTACCTTCATAAACTCGTACAGCATTCCAGCCTTGCTGTGTTACTTGCTATCTCCTTGCACTTTAAGCTGCCAGTGAGATCTGCCTTCTCCTAATGAAACTGGCAATTATGTCACTATTTATATATCTCAAGCAACTTGGGTTATTTAAGGTATGCTTGGTTGCTGTTTTTTTTTTTTTTTTTCTTAATGCTGCTCAAGTTCCCATCTGGGGGAGGAATGAAGGGACTGAAGGTGAAGGTATCCTGCTGCAGCCCTGGCTGTGTGTGTGTCCAGCTCAAGGCTGTTCCAAAGCAAACCTGAATTACTGCTTTAAGCCTGTAAGGCCCCAGCTTAGCTTGGGGAAAGGGAAAGACCTCACAGGTCTCCTGCTTCTCAGACTGCTTCCTGTCCAGCAGCATTTTGCCTTTTGCCTGCTGCTCTCAGAGCGTTCTCATGCATGTGGTCTTGCACAGTGCTGAGGTGGGATGGGTGGACATCCTTCCCTGGCTCTGGCACGTTCTATGACAGCAGTGTGGTCCAGGCTGTTTGGGTGCTGAGTCCCTTGGCAGTGTTGGTTGCTCTGGTGGGTGATGCTCTGCAGTGGGTGTTGCACAGCCTGGCCCTGCAGCAGGGAGCCATGAGCACAAGCCTGCAGCCGTGCAGCGGTTGTGTTTGTTGAAAGTGTGTTCAGGTGTGGGGTGCATGAAGAGCTGCGTGCCCTGTGGTTGGGAGGGGCGCTTCTCTCCCTCCTTGTCAGCTCGATGCCTCTGACAGCCATCTCCCTGCCTCCTCCATCTTCCTGTTACAGCTAAAGATGTGTCTACAATGGGCCCCGTGTCCTACATAGAGCCAAGTCGCTGTTTCCATCAATATTTTGTCACCCCTCCACAGCCAGGCAGTGGGAAAGTGCACGGAGCAGAGGACTGGTTGGATCCATGTTAAGGTCAATCTGCAAAGCAAAACCCCATCTACTAACGTGCTGCTTAACCACTCTCATTTCAGGCCCAGGCAGTCACCCTCACTGTAGCTCAGGCATTCAAAATAGCATTTGAGTTCTGGCAAGCCTCCAAGGAAGGTGAGTTTTATTCCTTCTTTATTCCACATGAAAATTCAAGGAATGACTTTGAGTTTTTCTAGCTCCAAATTTCCAGGCTGCTGTTAAGGTTGGTCAAATCTTTGGAATGATTTAAGACATCATCCAGGTTTCTCTAGACAGCCTTGTAAATCAGACTGAATTTTGGCTGTGCTCCTTTCTTGCAAGTGGGGTTTGGAGAGCTGAGTGCTTCTCTGTGGTACCTCACAGCCCTACCGCTGTCGATATTTTTGCTTTTACCTTCCAGCAGATTATAAAACACACTCAGACCTGGGCTGCTTTGGGCAGAGGAGACCTGGTGGCCAGTCATAGCTCTCCTTGCAAAAGGCATGTGGGACAGTGCTCTGCAGGCAGTGATGGCGTCTCCTTCTTTTGCAGAGAAGGAGAAACGAGAAAGATCCATCTTGGAAGGAGAAGGGGTGAGCAGCTCAAACCCAGCTGCCCCTGCTTGCTCTGATGCATGTAAGTCACCAACAGCAAAGGTTTTCTTCAGCCTTGGGGATGGGAAGCAGCCTAATGTCTGGGGGGTTTTTCCCTGGACGGGCATTTTCCTAGGAGGGCTTTGATCAGTAAGAAGCAAACTCTTTGGTTGTAGCAGAGCTGTTGCCCTGGACTCAGTGTCTGCCTGTCAGATCTTTATATCTTCCCTTTAAATATCTCTTACGTCCCTTTATACGCAGCTGTTGTCACCCCAAATCTGTTTACTTCTGCCTGAGGCAAATTGGCTGTAATGTCTTTGCAAACTTTGCATGGATCCTCACATCCTAAGTTTAATTTGGGTTTTGTGTTGGACCTGAAGGACTTGCTTTTCTGTTGGCTGCGTGAAAATAAAATAAATGGTAAAAGCTCTCACAGTTCACTGTCTGGCCATGGGTCCTCTGAAATGCTAGATGGATAGCCAGGGAGAAATGGGACAAAAGGCTAATCTCCCTTCTGTGCTGGCCGTGGAGATAAGAGGATTTGACACAGAGGAAAATAGCATTAAACTGGGCTTAATCCCAGACTGGCGCATCTCATTCTTTCATATGAAGGCCCAGGACTGGAGGAATCTGTCACAAATAGTGGAGATCAGAACAAATGAGGTCCAAGGCTGCAAGTGGTATAGAAATGGGCTCTCTTGTCTGCCTGGCCACATGCTGATGCTTTGCAGCTGGGGCATTTCTGCATCTGCCTGTATCACCAGGTTATGGGGGATGATTGAAGGCTTCTCTGAGAGAACATAGCCTATGGTGTACCAGCAACCATCAGGCTATGAACTGCTCTTCACCCAATGCAGGATTTCCCCTTCGTCCTATGGAGCACAGATGCCTCTTTGCAGGATGCTGAATTGAAGCTGTGGGCTGAGCTGAGGATGTCGCCCAGGTTCCCACCCTGTGGTTGCTGTTCCCAGCCCAGCCCTGGGCTATGAAGCTTTGGGGTGGGATGTCTCAGCTTTGCCAGAGTCTGATCCTTACCCGTTTTGAATGTAAGCACAGACCCAGGAGCCTTCCCTGATGGCTGATGGAGGGACAAGCTGGCTGACTCCTCTGCATCACTGCTCAGGGGTCTTGGGTGCCTGATAAGAGCATCTTGAATTGTGTGGGTGGAAACCACAGCCTTAACCAGTATGAATGCTGCTCCTCCACACTAAAATTCAGGGCTGTGCTGAAAGGAATTCACTGCCTCCCCTGACTTCTCCCCTCAGGGGAAAGCAATTGCTGCAAAAAAGGCTTGGTTTTGTATTAATTTTTTTCTCTCCTGCCTCATTCCCTCTCTTCTGTGTTTGCAGCTGCAGCCACAGGGAACTTGCTGGATTTAGAAGATCCTGCCAAATTGCTCCTTACCAGCAGCGAAAACCCCACACATTTAGATAACAGCATGTTTGGGCCCAGCTCCTCTGTAAATAACAACGTGGTGTGGGTAAGTTTGCCCAGGGCACCACAGAATCTGCTGAGCTGGCAGGGAGTGATGCTGCCTCAATCCTTGTGTGCTCCAAGTCCTCTTTTGGTGCTCTCTCTTGGACAAGACCCTCTGGGAGCTCTTGGGCAGCTGAGCTGTTTATTAAGGATCTCAGACTTGCCCAAGCAAGCTGGGGTTTGGTGTCCTACTAGAAATGATCGCTTTGTGTGTGAGTACTTAGAGCCCTTTTTAGGATCGGTAAATAAATTAAAGCAATTGAAAGCCACTGTGAAAAAATGCTACTGTCAGGTAACTGAATATTGCTTACTCTTGCATAGTGCTTCTCAATGGTTTGTCACTTAAATGAGAGACTGCCTAACTATCCTATCCAGGAGAAAGATCCACTATGTTGATGCTTTTATTTACTGTTCACTAAAACCAGGTTGTGTTAATGTTTGTTATTACTCTTAGTTCTCCCTTGTTCTTGTTTGTAACTCTGTCTTGCTTTGTGAACATGGATGGCTTCTCTAAAATGTCCAGAGCCATCTGGCCCAGCTGCTTCATGGACCAGTAATAGAAAAGTAAGCATCTAGGTGATGTATCTGGCTGTGCATCCATGGGGGAGTTTCTTGCACACCAAAATGCTACATCACCAACAGGGCAGGAGCTGATCTTGGAACCCCCACCATCCCCAGTTTGTGACCTGAGCCCTGCCATGTTTTCTCTCTGGAAACACAGTTAATATTTGGGACAGTTGAATGATAATGGCCTTTGCATGGCGCCTGTTTTTTGAGTCTGCCAGGTCTGAGCCTGAGGCTTTTCAGGTTAAACCTGAAGATCAGTTCCAAAGCCTGCAGGCTTATCAGCAGTCTCTGATCCTCCCTTCTGGTAGAGTTCACGTATTTTACTTGTTACATCATCTGCCAATGCATCATACAATTTTGGTCATAGTCAAGCCTGTCCGTAGCAAAGCCCTCTCAGAGGGCTATCTTCCTGCACAGGAAACCTTTCTCCCCTCATCAATTCAAATGCTTTCCCTGGGAACCCTTCAAAGAGCAGATCAGAGAAAAAGGGATCATAGAGTTGCTTTCAAACAACACAGGTCCAGCCCTTTGCTGGCACACTGTTGCTTTCCAAATTCTTGATCCAGAAAAGCCCTAGGGAGTGCCCAAAACATCTTGCTGAGCTCTGTCCAGGTTCATCCTCCTGGCAAAAACCTACAGCATGTGCCAGTTGCACGGCAGGAGCTGAGAGCCGTGGCTCCCTTTGCTCAGTGCTAAGTTGCTGCCTATCAGCTTTGCCCAAAATGTTTTTCTGCATAAAGAGCAGACGGATGCTTTCAGCCAAAACAATATCTTCTGCTTTGCATTGAAAGCAGAGCGGGCTGGGGTTGGTGGAGGACTCAGCATGCAGATGCTTTGGAACCAGCTCTTAACTTGGAGCATGGTGGCAGTTTCCAAGGAAGGAGCTGGGGGGCACTGGCTTCTTGAGAGGGGTCTGGCTGACCCAGATGGGAATCTGTTTCATCTTACAGGCCAGATCCAGCATCTACAGGCAGTGAGGTAGAATTAGTCTGGTCTGGAGACAGTAGGAAAGGTCCAATCCCCTCCTCTGTCCCACAGCTGCAAGGGGAGTGCAGCATCCTCAGCCTGTCCTGAGATCTGCTCGGAGCAAGCCTGGGCCACCCAGAATTGCATCTTTTATGCCATGGCTTGTGTGGAGAGTGAGATAAAGCCTGCTTAAGGAGGCAAATTGCTGATAGGAGTGTCGCTTTGGGTGCTCAGAGGTCCATATATACGTTTTTGTCTGCTGTGCTGAAGTGTGGAGCCAGATCTCTAAATACACTTTTGTGCATTCCCTTAGCAACTACTTCTCTCTCTTTTTATCTCTTTGAAAAAGGAAATGGATGATGATCTCGACGAGGCATTTTCAAGGTAATTCTAATAACACCCTTTACAAGTTCACACCACTGGGGACTAGCCCAGGGGGGCCTGTGATTTTTAATAATGCTTCTAATCTAATCAGCTGTCATGATCTGACCTAGGCAGCAGCCCCATCAGTACCTCAGCTCTTAATTGAAAGATAGGCTTTGCAGCTGGCTGATAAGCCATATGTTTTGACAACCTTTTACGGATGGAGAGAGGCTGTGTATGATAGGAAATCTGATTCCCTGAGCAGCCAGCATGTCCACCCTTGTTTTTTCAGGGATGTTTGAAGCAGCTTGTTTCAAGCTGTTGTGATAGGTGTGGCAGTGCTGGTCCCAACTGCTGGTATGGGGATCTTTACTCTCCTCCCTCTGTGAGGTTTGGCCAAATCCTGGTACCTTGGTCTTATCTTTCCCCAAAGCAACAGCAAAATGCTGTAGGCAACGTGCTCCCTCCCTGACAAACTCCCTGACAGTTTGTTGCACTGGGTGCCTATTGCAGCTTGATCACATCAAGGCAACTCTAATGCACCAGTTTTGAATTGATGTACCTGAGCACACTCAGAGATTATGGCTAGAATGTCATGTGGCTTAGTTCACTTTCTAGTCCAAATTAAGATCTGCCCTTGAGGTGCACACTGAGCAATCCAGCAGTGTTTTCTTTCAGGTGAGTTATCCTGTATCCATGCCCTCATGCAAGCAGGCTTGTAGAGGGTGACAGGCACATGCCCAAGTGAAAAAACGACTTGCTTAGCCCTAAGGGAATGGAGCTTTCTGTCATGTTCAAGTTTTGGGAATGATTTACAACTTCCATTTCCATGGCAACCCCATCCCAAGACCTGTAAAGGGACTGCTTGGTGTTGATGTAATGTCATCAATTTTTCTCAGCTCAGTTCCTTGCTCTGCTTAACTAAAGTGTTGGTTGCAGTCTTTTGTTTTGCATTGCTGGGCGTGGAGCTGTCACATTACCCTTGGCCTTTGGGTAAGGCAGTATTTGAACTGAGTCACTGAGGCTGCTCCTTTGGTCAACGGAGATAAGATCCCAGTTAGTGATGCAGCCTCCAGGAAGAGCTCAGAGGAGGAAGAAGGCTCTGTTGTGTCACACTGTGAATGTATGGGATGTCCAGACTGCAAATTCCCTGGATTTTGGGTGATGTTAGGATAAAAAAGCAGAAAAACTGCAACAACAAACCTGAGAGAGCTGCAAATGCTGTCATCTCTCCCCTTGTTGAATTACTTCTTTCAGTTGGAGGACTTTGAAGTTTGGCTTTGGCATTACGGTTGCATCATCTGAGCTGTGACCTGCATGCGTTTGTGTTCTTACTTTTTCTTTTTCTCCCCTCCTAGACTGGCTCAGTCAAGAACAAACCCTTACGTTCTCGACACAGGACTGACGGCTCAAGACATCCAGAGTGCAGAAATGCTCTCATCTGTAGATTGGAATAAAATAGATTCAAGTACAGGCGAGAAAGATGACCTGTTCATGTTTTGAAGTCAAATTCATCTAACAGCTGACAATGGAATAACCACTACAAGTCTGTGGACTGACTAAATCGTGCTCTTCCAGGTGCTGTATACAAGGGATTCTTCTGAGGGGTCTTCACCAAGTCAGATGAAGTTACAGCACAGCTTAGACCAAAGTTTTAGAAATCTAACGTGGATTGTTTTTTTACCTTGCTTTTATCTAAACCATGAGATGCTCCTAAAGATATTTATTCCTAGCTGTTACAGTTTACATATATTACTGAAAGGTGTGTAGAGCATCTGCAGTATCAGGTGGCAATATGCCATCAGTAGTGCCTGTTCCTCCCTGACAAATACTATGCAACACCAAAGTTCCTGTGTATACACATTTCTAGACAAAGGTCCGCAGATGGAAATGCAGTTGAAAGCACAACTGTTAGTAAACCACTGATTCTTGAACAACACGACACCTGCCCAGGCTGAGGGGAGGAGAGTTGCAGCAGCTGCTAGCAGTGCTGAAAGAGGTAGCAGAGATCTTGCTTTTGTTATGAATGTCATCCTCTCAGTTGTCAATCACCCAGATGTGTTCTGGCTTTTTCTTTGCCAGCTTCTTAGGTGAATTGACACTTCTTATCCAAAGACTGTTTAAGTTTTGCACTTTAAGACTTGAGCTGAAAGTAATGGTCCAAAATAGCAAAGTAGGCAGTGCCTGTAACTTCTCTTCAGAAGCCCTTTACCTCCCCACCCCCCAAAAAGAAACCAACAGTGCTGCAGCTGTTTCAAAACTGATTGCTCACACGTATTGTTTCTGTTATGACTTGAAATACTAAGGCTCAGTTGCATGGTTGGTTTAAAAGCAAAAAAACAGCAGGCAGTAATAATCTGTTTTCCGAAAGTGCGTTGGAAGTTGCAGGTTGTGTAGCACAATAGATTTGTGTTCTTAGCTCTGCTAAGTGGATTGGGCTGTGCATGCCTTTTTACAGTTTCAGGAACGTTTGGCAGTTGCCTGCTCAATAGACTCAAAGGGAATTGGATTAGGAAGACCAATACCTGTATGTTTAATGAGCAGAAGGTGCCCCTGTCAGTGCTGCTCCAGTCCTTTTCCCCTGACAGCTGCATCTCCCGTGAGGCTGGGAAGCTGTCTTCATCTGCTCCTGGCATTCAAACAAAGTAATGGAGGTATAAAGCTTATGCCAATTAAAAGATTAAGTTTAATGATCCTAAATAGTCGTACTGACAGTTTGCAGTGTTTGTGGCCTTCTGTGAAGTATATTTAGCTGTTTTATAGATTTGTAACTCGGAACTTTGTTTTGAAACACTAATTCATTCCCCAGACAGCTCTTTGTAACTCCTAAGGCTGCTTGCAAACAAACAAACAAAAATCTTGGTCAGCTCTAAGAATTTCTTAGGAAACAGCTAAGTGACACTAACTTAGGTTTGATTATTTGCCACTTACCATGATAAGGTATTGATGACTTGTGAAGCCAACTCATCCCGTCTGTTCATGATTTTGCAGGATAAACAGGGAACACGTTCTGTGTTCAGAGCAGTCCTCAAATACTGCGCCCGTGACTTGATGCCATGTGCAGCATCAGGCTCTTGTGCTTGAAGTTTGCAGAGGGGCCTGGGCCCATTGCAGGAGCAGTGCTAAAAGAACAGAAGTGGGGGCAGGAAACACCTTGTGCTGAGTTCTGGGAGCACTCATCTCCCTAAGAAATCGTATTGCAGGAATGGACTGTGAGGCTTTCTCTGTACAATGATGTTCTTTTCTAGAGGTTTGAGGAGCATATGCTGATATACACAATGCTATATATGTATGTAGATATTTTTTAAGAAAAAAAAAAAGAATGTATGGAGAAAAATAAAAGTTCTACTTTTTTTTTTTTTTTTTGTTTTTTTTTTTTTTTTTTTTGAGTGTTTGTGCTGGTTTGACTTTTTACCACAGCTTTTTTCATGTGTAGAAAACTTTGTATTCCTGTCTGGTTGGGTTTTCTTTCTCGCTGGGTGCACAGCAGTAAGCAACTGGAAACAAGTGGACAGGAGGAGGTTGTTTGCAGGGCCATCTGTGCAGAGAAACGATGTCAGTGGTTCCACATAAAGCAGCATGTTTTGCTGCTGGATGCGGCTGCTCTTCCCCTTTGAAATGAGCTCTGGGTGATCCTGTCCACTTGGGGCTCTCAGCCACTCTGCAAGCTCCACATCTCCCAGGCTGTGCTTCTGGGGGTTGTTTCTCTTTCCAGCCATTGCTGTCAGGAGTTTCATCCCCAGCAAAAACTCCAGTCTCAAGCAGTGTGAAAGGAAAGCATCCCAGGATGAAGTTTTGTCACTGCCTGCAAGCACAGAAATGCCCTCTCCCTGCAAATCACAGGGGCAGCTTCTGGTGTGGCTGTTAATAATCCTATTGCTGGTCATGCCACTCCAGGCCCTTTTTGGTTTTTTTGCAGGGATGCTTTGCAGGAGCCATTTGACTTGCACCATTGTCTTTCCATATTCCTAACAGCCTCACCAGCCCCCCAACTTGCTTCTTCTCAGGTCTTGCCTCAAACAAAACCCTCTTTCTGTTTAACAGCGTGAATTTTAATGTGACATTTCAGCAGCAGGCCTGTCACTCGGCTGCTGCCTGCATTGCATGCTCATAGTGTGAGCCCCAGCCAGAGCAGTGCACGAAAAGAAGTGTAAAAGCATTAAACCTCAGATGTGGCAAATTTATCACTTCTGTGTACTGTCACAGCACGAGCATAAAACTTGACAGTAAAAAATAAAACAATTTTGTCGCTGGCGTTTTTTATTACTTTTCATATGCTGCTTTTTTTTGGTTGTTGTTAGTGGAAATTTAAATTATAATGGTATGCTTCACTTAAAAAAAAATATAAAAAAGTATCCATAGCAACAGGAACATCTAAATTATTGTAGGCTGATCACTTCTCTACTTGAGTCACATCACATGCCTTTCAAAGACAGTCCCAGAGGTGCAGGGTTTTAATTGATTTTCTTTTTTTTGTGGATTATTTGTTCAAATAAACAACTGTATGCACAGCACTTTCCCCATCGATATTCTCCTTACAGAAAGATCTAAACCTAATAATTGCCAGCATGCTTCATTACACAGAGAGTTGGGAATTCAGGCTTGCTCTTACAATCCTCACTTCGTGTGAGCTTTCTTTCAGCTGAGTTGGAGCCTTCTGGTTAAATCATGTAAAGCTGGAGGATTTGCATCAAGTTCAGCTGATGTTAATTCTGCCTGAAAGTGTTCAGGGAAAGTACAAGGGGAGGGGAAGGGCTCCTTAGTTTGCTCTGCTAGCAATCTGCCTGTTAGATTGCAACTGGAGTCGACCTCATCTGTGTTCTCTTCTTGTAGAATTCTTATTTGCTATCCCTGCAAAGTCACTCCACCAGAGCTGAGGTTTGAAAGCCCATCGGTGTGAAACTGCGCCCAGTCATTTTCTGGACACTGTCCCTTCACCTGAGTCTCCTTGATCACTTCTGACCCGAAGCAGCTCTACCTTTCCAAAGATCCCTATGTCTTATTTGGGAGAAAAGCCCCACCAGTACACACTGATGGCCTTCCTCTAAGCTCATGTGTTGTTATCATTTAAGTTGTGGTAGTAAACTGTTTACATGCCTAGAAATCTCAGGCAAAGAATCAAGACTTAATAAGTGTTCACGTGCACAACAAGACGATCTTAACCCACAGCTCTGTGCGTGCTGACATTTCTCGTGTTCAGCAATTTGCTTTTTATGTCTTTCATTTCCCATTGTCGTGCAGCGTGTTGCTGGGTCATAATTTCCTGCATCTTTCCCCAGGGGAGGCTGCAAATTCAAGGATGATATATTTGCAGAGCAGAACATGCAAATTACTGTTGAATTAGGCAATCTTTCGACACATGGAATGTTACTTATCATTTAGCCTCTGCAGAACAGCTGATGTGCCAACGAGTGGATCACCAAAGGAAACAAGAGAACGTGTTGGGGTTCTTTTTCTGTTTTGATTTACCTGTAAGGAAGTGTCATGTAAGCATGAAAAGGAGCAGGCTCGGAGGAGACAGCTTTCAGATTCTGAAGATGGTTATCATCAAGGTGATGCCAAGCAAATGCTGTTACAGGAACTTGGTGTAGTGTCTGTCAGTGACTTCCAGATCAAATTGGCTTTGTATGCAGGTTTCAAAAAGAAAGAAAAGGCGAGGTGGGTGGTTAAAGGAGGCAGAATGATGCAAAAAATATGTCAGACCTGCAGATCTGGCTCATGTTTTAAAATCACATTCTTTCCTTTATGTCTGCTATGAAATCACAGGACTCTTCAATGGTCTTAAACAGAAAGCTGTAATTTTGTGATTGATGCATGAGCCAGAAGATAATCCACTTCACTCTCACGTAGATTTATTACAGCCCTGGGTCCAGCAGGAGTCAGAAATATTCATTTCATGTTGAGGATACAAAGTCATACTGAAATTCTGAGCCCTGACCTTTGCCAGCAGACCGCAAGTTAAGCCATCGGTTCTCTGGTCTCAGCTCTCAGCTGTGCAGCATTAGGTGAGGATCCAGCAGGAGGTTTTCCCTAATCTGTAGGTGGAGCTTATTGACTCACAGTTTCTCTGAGCTCATATTCTCAGTGCTCAGAGTAATTAAATGAATCTCAGAGGCTGTGTCCTCAGGTACCTGGGAGCACCTTTGTTGGCAAGGTGGGTGTTAACCAGCAAGCCATGACTGTCTGTGGCCACAAACAGCGCTGAGGGGGCAAAGCCTTTCCTTTTGAGGGTGCTGTGCAGGTGGGTCTTGCTTTGTTTGTGTTGATTGTATCACTGTGATCCAGTTGATAGCTGGCACTGTATAAATTGAGACTGAGTTATGGGGGAATTGTCAGAATTGAGTTGCTTGCTCTGCTGTGGCCTCACATTTATGTACTGTGCTGACCTGACGCCTGTGGGATGTGATGGGAGAATGGGGGAAGATTCTAGTAAAGCTATTGAAGGACTTCAAGTAGGTCCTAAATAGGGTAAGCACACAAGTTGCTTTACAACTACAACGGGAGAATCTTAGCTAGTGCAGCTCGTTGTATTTCACAGGTGTTTCCCTCTGCCCTGGATACCAAGAGCCTTCCTAGTTCTGCTTTTTATGCTCTGAAAATGAGGACACGGTCCCTTAGGACCAGGAGTAATGAAGAGGCAGCAGAGGCTGGAGCAGAACTGTTCAGTTACAGGCGTTCTCTTGTCTCATTACCCAGATTGCATGAGGAGGAACATTCCTGCTGAGCTCAGAATTGCATCTTTTTACTTCCTACCTGACATAGCAGTCACAGAGATAGCTGCAAACAGGCTTAAAACTACAGCAGCCTCAGAGCAAAGTTCAGGATACAAAACGTCAGCCTAACCAAAAAACAATGTGGAGCTCTGGGTGCTTCTGCCCAACATCTGTAACGCGTGACAGTGAGTCTGAGCAGGTCCTGCTTTGAAATAACCAATTTCCTTCCTTACTTTCAGCCTGCCAGCCTCGGCAGCACGAGATGATCAACAGGTGACAACACGGTCATTTGAGGGGGAGGTAGAGGAAGGCAGCTGCAAAGCACCGTGCATTTGAAGTACGCTACTCCATCTTTATCAGCTGTGTTATGTATTGGTTTTCTTGTACCGTGTGCGGGTTGGTACTCCATGCTGTTGTTGGAGGGAAGCGGTGCTGTTGGCTGAACTCGTCTGGGTGTCTATCTGTACTGCTCTGGTGGCATTGCCACGTCTAACATTGTTACAATTTAGCCTTTCTGGTGCCTTTTAGAATAGCTCCTACCAAACCAATCCCAGCGATGCATCATTACATAACCTAACAGTGCTGTTGTGCTTTGTGCCTTAAGGTAAAAGCAGACTCGCTGGCACTCTACTACATGTATTGTGCACCTGCAATTCCCATTCACATAGCAGGTAACAAAGTTTCTAATTATCTAGGCTTCTGGGGAGCCTCGCGTCCTCACTGCTTGCCTTTTTAAAACCTCGGAATAATCAATAGCAGATGGATCTCTTCTGTTCTGAGTGATTACAGGCCGTCAGGGATTGCTGTGCTCATTCTCATCATGTGCAGATGAGCCCCACTTCAGGAAAGTTTCGGGCTGTTGTATGCATAACACACCTGCCAGTCTGTACAGCTTCTCCCTTTTCTGATCACAGCTGGATAAAGGGATGAGAGCTGCAACAGCTTACGTGTAGCTTAAACTGACACCAGCCTCGCTGTATGCAGGTCAGGACAAGTGGTTTGAGGTTAGGTTGTGTTATTGTTTGTTTTGTTTGCTTCCCTCTGTTTTATTTTTTGCAAAACTAACCATGTTAACTCAAGCTACCCACCAGCAATACAGCAATACTCTCTTCAACCTGCCCATTCTGACCTGTCATTGCTGTGGTACTAAAAATCACAGAGTTAAATGGCTCTTCTGAGTTGAAGGCTTTCTGGCTATGGATGATTGCTGTTCCAGCCCAGTCCAGGCGTCCCAACCTCTCCTGTAGCCAGAGGCCATTTCCCACAGTAAGAAGAGGGAGAGAAATGAAGCCTACTTTAACAGACAGGCAGGAGGCTCAGCATAATTATTTTGCCAGACTTTTGCCTTCACTGTTACCCATTGCTTTGTGCTCTTCCTCCTCACAGAGAAGGAGATATTCTCTCTTTTCTTACGGCCATAAGAAGTGATTTTCTCAAATTTCTTCTAGCTCTGCTAAAAACCAGAACCAAAATGCAGCAGGACCCCCATCTCTGCAGTAATTACACTCCGCTCTCCTGGCTCCTTCAGCACCAAGTCCTATGACTATTTTGCTATGTCTGGAACTCTTCTTGTACACACAGGCTGAGCTTTTTGCCTTATTACAAATTTTTTAAAGTAATTAAACGTTTACCTCAAAGACA